GTAAATATTAAAAATATCATATTATAAAGTAAGAGGTTAAAATTTATAAATTTAATAAAATTAAAAATTAAAAATATTATAGTATAGAATGAAACATTAAAATTTTCAAACTTAACCAGATTAAGGATTAAAAATAAATTTTTGTCAGAGGTTTATGCCCAGCCAATCTCTTGAGGTTATCTTAATATGAGAGCTAGGTGTAGTACGCATATGCCTTGCGATGATGACACATGGAGACAGTAGGTTACGTGGACGGTTGATTGCGGGGTGGAACAGATATTTTGTGGCAAATAATTTTATAGACAAAAATTGGGCGTTCTGCATTAACGTTGAGCACTCGACCCTTAACAGCAGCACCGACAACTAGTGGCAATTTTGTAATTTAACTATTTTATAATTTCCTTTTTTTTTGAGAAGAGGACAATTAAATAATTCATTCATATAAATTGCGTTAGGAAAAATAGTTAGATTAACCCTCAAAATATTTTCTACTCACAAAATAAATCCTTAATAAAACTGCACTAAGAAGAAGGCCTTTGTAGTTGTGATCGACGACAAACATGCCCAAAGTAGATGGAAAACCTGATATGATAAATACCCTTTTTATCTCATAATAATAAATATATTTTTTATTTTTTTAAAAATTAAAATTTTAAAAAAAATTTGTATTTTTTAAAAGGTGAAATCGTTAACTATTAACAAAGGGAACGACCTCTTTTTATTAAGATTCCTCGCACCATTAATGGTTAAAAGTAAAGTGGTGATATAAAGATAATTTTTTATATTATTTTTTAATATAATTTTTATATATTATTAAATAAATATATATTTAATATCATAAGTTTTAAATGAATAAAAAAATTAATTATTTAAATAATAATAAAGTTGTATAAAAAAATGATACAAAAATATTGTCTCTAAATTATTTTCTTAAAGGTAATATAGTCTACTTTGCCAAATTATAGTGTAAGATTATCTTATATTTTTATCTGTATTACTTCAAAAAAAAAAAATTAAAGAGAAACTTCTTTTAATATGATGAATAAATAAAGTAATTAGAAAACAATAGATTAAACTAGGAATAAAATTTGTTTCCATTAAAATATAAAAAAAAGATGATTAATTTGGGACAAATTTTAAATAAAAATAAGACTTATTATTAGACGAAAGGGGTAAAATGGTAAATCCATTAACCTTGGTTGAGCTGGAAAAATATTCACACCAGTATGGGTCATGAATAGGGATGGGCGTATTTTGGTTTAAAATAAATAAATAAATAATAATAATAATAAGGTTAAATACTCTTTTTGGTCCCTCTACTATAGGAAAAAGCTCCTTTTTGGTCCATATACTGAAAAAATCCCTTTTTTAGTCCTTACTGTTCACAAATCCGGCCTTTTTTTGGTCCTTCCGTTAATTTTTGCTCATGTGACACGTTAACTTAACGGGAACAGCTAATGTGGATATAATGATACCCTCCACGTGCGAGGGAAAAAGAAAAAAAAAGGTTAAATGCTAAATTTGATCCCTCAACTTTATAAGTTTGCATTTTTTTATCCTTAAATTAAATTATTCTTTTCACTTTTTTGATCCTTAAATTATTCTGTTCACTTTTTTGATCTTTTAACTCTAAAAATTACACAATTTTGATTCTTTCGTCAGTTAAACATGACGTGGCAATTAAATAATTTCATTTGACATTTTCTTTTAATTTTTTTGATGATATGACAATTATATATATTATAATTATATTATATAGATAAATAAAAATATAACGTAGATAAACATTTATATTTTAATTAAAAATAAAATGACAATATGACCCTTACCTCCCAATCCCTCTTCTTCCCCTTCTTTCTTTCTCTTTCTTTCTCTTTCTTTCTTTCCTACCCAGATCGACTGGGTTCTGACGAGTTGGGTAGCTGGGTTCGTCGAGCACTGCTTTCTATGCTGCATCTCACTTCAAAACTTTTGCGTAGAAATTCCTTCAAACCCTCCGAAATCTCCCAGCTGCCGCTGATTACCTTCCTTTTCCATAACTCTTGCAAAACACGAACATGAAATCCACTCCGATCAATCCGATCCCGTCCATCTCAATCATTTCATCCGATCCAATCTTTCTCGCTTGCTGAAATCCGATCTCCTTGCTGTTCACGCTTGCTGGTCCTGGTCGCACGAACCTAGTCTTGCTGGTCTTGGTTGCACGAATCCGGCCTTGCTGCTCGCGCGAACCCAGCCTTGCTGGGTTCGTCGAAACCTAGCTGCTGGGTTCACGCGACTAGCAAGGCTAGGTTTGACCAACCCAGGCTCGACGAAACTAGCAAGGCTGGGTCTCGACCAACCCAGCCATGCTGGTCACGCAAACCCAGCCTTGTTGGGTTTCGACGCTGAGTTCATGTTTTTTCATTTTTCTTTCTATTTTCATTTTCGGTTCTTGATAAATTTGAAAGTTGATTTACAATTTGATTGCATTTTTCTTATGGATTAGAGTTTGATTGCATTTTTCTTGGAATTGGATTAAAGTTTGAATGATATTGTTTATTGAAGGGTTAATTTGATTTGATGAGATCTACTGGCTTGATGAACTCAGTGGCTTTAATGAAATCAGTAACCGAGTTTTGACGAATGCAGCAAGGTTGGGTTCGAGCAACCAACAAGGTTGAGTTTCGACGAACCCAGCCGATCTGGGTAGGAAAGAAAGAAAGAGAAAGAAAGAAGGGGACGAAGAGGGGTTGAGAGTTGAGAGTAATAATGTAATTTTATGTTTAAATTAAAATATAAATTTTTATCTACGTAACATTTTTATTTATCTATATAACATAATTATAATATATATAATTGTCATGTCATCAAAAAAATTAAAAGAAAATGTCAAATGGAATTATTTAATTGTTACGTCATGTTTAACTGACGAAAGAATCAAAATTATGTAATTTTTAGAGTTAAAAGATCAAAAAAGTGAAAAGAATAATCTAAGGATCAAAAAAATGCAAACTTATAAAGTTGAGGTATCAAATTTAGCATTTAACCTTTTCTTTTTCCTTTTCCTGCACGTGGAGGGTGACATGAAGGGTATCATTATATCCACATCAGCTGTTCCCGTTAAGTTAACATGCCACATAAGCAAAAATTAACGGAATGACCAAAAAGAGTCAGATTTGTGAACAGTAAGGACCAAAAAAGGGATTTTTTTGGTACAGGGACCGAAAAAGGACTTTTTCTTATAGTAGAGGGACCAAAAAAGGTATTTAACCTAATAATAATGATAATAATAATAAAATAACCAAACCAAACCAAACCAAACCAAAGTTTTCTAATATAATTAAACAGTTAAAAGTTAATTCAATTTTAAACTAAATTTAACCAAACCAGAATTATAATTGGGTTATAGCTTACAGCCCTAAAATTGTATAAATTGAAAAAAGCCTCCAACTTTACTGAATTAGTAAAAAATTTTGATTGAATTGAAAACCATACTGAACCAAATTTTTGTATGCAAAATCGAAAGTTAATTTGGAATTTTTACAAAATTCAAAATTTTGTTTAAAACCAAACCAAATTAAAAAAATTGGGTAACCAAACCAAATTTTCAAATTTGTATTTGGTTTGGATTCGGCTATGAATATGTTAACTAAAGAAATTAACTAAAGAAATTTGGTCAACTAAGATGAATCGAGGCGTAACCCTAGTCCTGAAGATGTTAATAAAGAGATATCATACTTATAAGGACATAACTTTTCAAAATTTTTCTAATCAAGGTTGCCATATTTCATAAGTTTCTAATTAAATATATTACTTAATTTTCCCATTTCTAAACGATTTATGAACTAATTAAGGCTTATCATCTCTCAAAAATTTTCTAATCAAGATGTTAGCCAAGATAACAGATTGTGACAATTTTGTATACCAAACTTTTGATACATTTATTGTTGATTGCAACTTTCGTAGGCTAGTTTGCCACTAAAATTTCATCATGAATTTATTTTCTAGTGAAAAATATTTTGGGACTAATTTGTTCATTTTCTCATTGGGTTAAGGTCCGTTTCATATGCATTTAGTTTTTGGTTTTTATTTTTGGTAAGTACTACTATATTTAGAAAGTAATTTTTTAATAAAAATTATAATTTATTTAATTTAATCTGAATAACTAATTAATAAATATAAAAAAAATATAAACTGAAAATAAAAAATTAAAACCATACTAAACGGAGTCTTAGTAATCTTAGACAAAACATGTACCAAGCCAAATGTATTATTTTTTCAACCTCCAACAAAAGGCCCAAAATATATGGGCATATATTAGACAATGTCATTTTTAGCTAGCTAATCAGCTACTCTATTTGTTGATCTTAGAGCATAGACAAACATACTAAGAGTCAAAATAGACACACAAATTCCAGATATCATATGTAGAGGACGCCAATTGCCAAGGAGGAACTAATACATGATTTAAAACTCTTACTGACTCCTAGTTATCTCGTTCAAAAAGAACCGTATGTAATGCACAATGCAATGCCTTGATCACTGCCATTCGCAAAACAATAACTTCACCTAATAAGGCCAACGATACCACTTGCTTCGAAGTCAACCCAACCAACAAAATACCTACCTCATCCCTACAAAAAATAGTTAGACTAGCATAGGTTGAATTAGCCAAAAAGGTACGTAGAATTAGTAGTTATTTTAATGAAAGGAGGGCGAGGGCGTCAATCTTCATTAATACTAGTATTAATTATTAAGTTAAATATCTATTTAACTTGAAGAACAATAGAATCTTCTTTACTAATTAACATTTCTAAAACATTTTTTGAGCTTGAAAAGCTATCACTCTCTAACACATTTAATGTTGCTGAAAAATAGCATCATACCAACATAACAGTATTTATGTTGGTACGTGTAGAAGAACCCAAATGTATTCTTGACCTAGGTTACAAGCAAAATGAAATCAACTCTTACTAGCTTTCAATTAAGTTAAATTTTATTTTGTTCCCTTAACTTTGGCTAGGAGATCATTTTTTTTTTTTTGTCTAAATTAAATTTGGACTCCTTTTTGTCCTTGAATTGAATCACATTAAGTTATTTTGTTTAAATCAATTAACCAAAGAAGATCTGGTTTTGTTTATCAGTGTGGGAAAAATTTTGGTTAATAGAATTAACCAAAATAATCAAATTTCCATTAACCTAATTGAATGAACCAAATTGATTTGACTCAACAACTTAAAATTTACTCTTGTTTACTTATTCAACAGCAATTCAACTAATGTGATCAATATTCATATCAATACAGCATTTGTATTGTATATTTGAGAAAATTTGAAAGGAGATTACATAAGAGATTATAAATGCCCTAGTAATTCAATTCATTAGACACCAAAGTGAATCGAGTTATCTAAATGTATAGAAAGTTCTAAGTATGGTTAACTTAGTTACAATTCTAATTAGCTGACTCTTGGAATCGAAATCTATACCAAATTACCAACATCAACTTCAATTGGGTTTTAGAATAGAGGTTATTAAACTAAAATTGTCAGTTAACTGAGGCTCTATTTAATATAATTGTAGTTTTTAATTTTTAAAATTTAAACAATCAAAATTAATAATTGAAAACCAAAATTAAAAATTAAAATTGCCAACTTGTTGAGTATACAATTTTAAAACAAATACCTAAAATTTTAAACTTATTAATTTATAGAACTTGTTAATTTAATTATAGGGAATCTAAATTTATGAAAACCAAAATTCGAAACTTAAAACCATAAGTATACTAAATAAAGTTTAAAAAATCTAATCTAGTTAACTAAACTAAACCAATGCCCCAAACCTAGCATAACTACACTATTTACTAATAATGTTAATAACTGCTTTGGAAGACAAAAGACATAAAATATGGAAGTAGTGAATCACCCTCATAGATACTTGCAGTGGGAACAAAAAGTTGCCGTAAGCAACAAACATTAAGATAGTTTAAGATAAACATTGGCTTCATTTTCATTACTGAGACAATTTAGATTGAGTTATGATAATAACTCTTGGGATAAGTTTCCTATGACCCTTAAAAGTTTAAATTTATATTATTAGTAATGATTAGTTTCAATATATTTATACCATTCACTTGACACTTATTTCCCAGTTCAGAATTTGCAATCCCACACTCAATGGGTGTGTTATGGTCATCCCAATCAAATGTTAAGGCTACACAAGTATAATTATAAAAATAATGATTTTATCTAATTTGATTGTTTCCCAATTGAGAAGGAGGGTAAGAGTGGGGGCTTAGGTCTACTATGTATGGAGGCTATATCAATTAACCTATTATCTTTTTCTGAGAACCATATTGATGTAGAGGTTGAATGGGAGGGACCATAGAAATGGTAGTTTATGGGGTTTTGTGGGAATCCAAAGAGTTGTAATCGAAGATGGTCTTGGGCTTTAAGTGTGTGCTTGTGGAAAAATCATCTCTTCCATGGTTGGTTGGGGGTGATTTTAATGACTTGCTGGATGCTTCTGAGAAAAGGGGTGGCTCGAACAGGCCAGAATGGATGATCCAAGGGTTTTGTGAAGCAGTGGAAGATTGTGGCTTGCTAGAAATTTGAATGATTGAACACTTGTATACATGGCACTTTAGAGAGGTAGAGGAGAAGCTAGGTAGAGGTTTTGCTAGTAGAGCATGGTTGGAATTGTTTCCATATGCAGTGGTGTAAGTCTTGCTTTTTTTATCTTCATCAGATCATGTACCTTTATCGTTAAGGGCAAAGGGACGGGCGAAAGAAAAGTATACAGGGGCATCGGTTTCGGTTCGAGGAGATGTGATTAAGGGAGAATAGGTGTCATGAAGTGGTAGATTGTTGTTGGAGGAAGGAGGTTGAGGAGAAGGGATATGATGTGTTGACTGAGAAAATTAAGGATTATGCAGAGGAGTTAAGTACGTGGAATTGTGAGTCATTTGGACATGTACAACGGAAGCTCCTACAGTATAATACTCAAATAGGTAAGATGTGATGGCAACTATGGTTGGAGGGGAAAGAGGAAGAGGAGAATCGATTGCAAGTAGAGATGGAGGAATGGCTCTTACGTGAGGAGATAATGTGGAGACAATATTTTAGGGAAATATGGCTACAGGATGGAGACAAGAATTCAAAATTTCTTCATGGCAAAGCTTTGAGGAGGCATGAGAGGAACGTTGAACAAAAGTTGTTGTCTAGTGATGGTGTATGGAGAATGGATGCTAGGGAGGTAAAAGGGATGGTTATGGATTAATTTAATTATATCTTTGCCTCTCAAAATATTGGAGGGATAGATGAAGTCATTCGACTTTTGGATAGGAGGGTTACGGTGGAGCATATGTGGGGTTACTAGCTCTGTTCACAGGAGAAGAGGTGCGAAAGGCTTTATTTCAGATGCACCCGTCTAAGGCATTGGGTCCGGATGGGATGTCGCCCAGTTTTTTCCAGAAGTATTGGGATAAGGTGGGTAAGGTAGTGAGTATGGCATTTTTTTTTTTTTTTTTGAAAATAGGTAATGGAATGAGTATGGCATGTTTGAGTTTTCTTAATGAGGGTAAGGATCTACCCAGGGAGGTGAATTATACTCATATAGTGTTGATTCCAAAATGCAAGGAGCGTAAAACAGTTGTTGATCTATGCCTCATAAGCCTATGTAATGTAATCTATATGGTGGTGGCTAAAGTCCTTGTAAATAGACTCAAACAAGTGCTATCGAGGGTAGTTTCGAAGGAACAAAGTGCTTTTATCTTGGGCCAATTGATAACAGATAATGTTTTGGTTGCCTCCGAAATTTTACATTAGATGAGGCTTAGGAGAAAGGAAAAGTGAGGGTGGCAAGCAGTGAAGATTGATATGAGCAAAGCTTATGATAGTATTGAGTGGGAATACCTACGGCGCATAATGGTAGCTTTGGGGTTTGCAGAGTGATGGGTAGGTTTAATTATGCAGTGTGACTTTTGTGTAGTATGGAGTGTTGTTGAATGGTGAGTTGATAGGGCACGTGAACCCGACCCGTGGGTTACGACAAGGAGACCTGTTGTCCTTATAACTATTTATTCTATGTACGGAGGGGCTTTCAACTCTAATTAAGGATGCTGAACGAGGATGACTAATTCATGTGACAAAGGTTTGTCGTGGAGCTCTAGTGGTCTCACATTTATTTTTTGTGGATGATAGTTTCTTGTTTATGAGAGCCGGATGTGCAACGGCAATTGGGTTGGTAACGATCTTTAGAAAGTATGAGAATGCCTAAGGCAGGTGTTAATGTTCGAAAGTCAATAAGTATTTTTTAATAACAATGTATCCCAATAGAAACATGAGAGGATTTTGACTGTTTTGGGCATACGAGTGGCAGAAACAGGGGAGATATTTAGGCATGCCAATGAGTGTGGAAAGATTGAGGATGCTGGTTTTTTTTGAGATGAGGAACAAGTTTGGGGCAAAGATTAATTGTTGGCGAGAGCAACTTGTTTCTAGAGGAGGCAGGGTAGTTTTGGTCAAGACGGTGTTGCAATCTTTACCTACATATATTATGAGTTTGTTTAAACTTCTTACTACTTTATGTTTGCAGCTGGAGAGAATTATGAATAGGTATTGGTGGGGAAAGGGGGAGGATCAACTTAAAATTCATTGGACGGAATGGAGGAGATTAGCGAATTCGAAGGAGGATGAGGGAGGGGGGTTGGGTGTTAGATCTATGCATCAGTTTAATTTGGCTATGCTAGGTAAACAGGGATAGAGATTACTCTCAAATGAGAAGTCTTTAGTGACAAAGGGGCTTAAGGCACTTAAACCTAAGTACTATCCTAGATGTGATTTTATGGTTGTAGGGAAGGGGTATAGGCCAAGTTTTACATGGTGTGGTATATGGGAGGCTAGAAAAGTACTTGAGAATGGGTGTAGGAGAAGAGTGGGAGATAGAAGGTAGATTAAGATTTGGGAGGATCCATGGTTACTAGATGTTTCAATTTAGAGGATGGATGGGTGTGGCAATTCACTAAGAATGGAGGATATATGGCGAAATCGGGATACTATGTAGCCTGTTCAATGGCTGATGATACTGTTGATAGGCCATCAAGTTTGGAGGGGCAATTTCGAGTACGGTTTTTGTGGAAACTGCAAATGCCTAAGAAGGTTTAGTTGTTAGTATGGAATGCATATAGAGTTGTGTTGCCATCCAAGGATAATCTCTATCGAGAGCATGTTGAGGTCGATACCTTTTGTCTTATTTATGGGATAGAAGAGGAGTCTTTACTTCACTATTTTAAAGATTGTGTGGTGGCAAGAGCGGTGTGGTTGGGAAGCCAAGTGGGCTTACGTGTTTCTGAGCTTCAAGTTGCAAGTTTTGGAGAATTTTTTTGAGGTGATGGAAAACAGGTTTCACAGGAGCAATTGCAGCTTTTCTATTATCTGTGCTGGTTATTATGGCATAATAGGAATGAAGTGGTGTGGAGGTATAAAGGTAGGGACCTAGTGCAGATTATAGAGCATGCTATGAGTTATAAGAGGGAGTTTAAGTTGGCCCAAGATCCACTAAATGATGGTAGGGAGCAGGGGGTAAAGGGATGGTGTTAGATAGTTTCCACCAGTTGCTTCTTTGTTTAAACTTAATGTGGATGGGGCAGTTTCTAAGCAGCAACGGACTTTTGGAATAAGGGTGATAATAAGAGATAAGAGTGAGAATGTCATGGTAGTTTTGCAAGCAAGAAGGCATGGGTATCTTTCTCCAAAGGCAGTGGAGGCTAGTAGCTTGCAGATGGGCCTGGTGTGGGCGTATGAGTTGGGTTTCAATAGGCTGGTGGTGAAGTGCAACAGTAGCAATGTAGTTGCAGCAATGGGAAAAGTGAGTGCAGACTTATAATTGGAGTAGGGAATGGTGGGTCAAGATTGTGTTTCTATTATGGCAAAATTCCAAGTGTGCCAATTGCAGCATATCTACTGTGAGAGTAATAGGGTAGTAGATGGGTTAGCAAGGGAGGCTTTGGATGGTGAGGTGGAAAGGTGTGGATCGAGGAGATTCCTCCATAGATTGTGGAAATTATACTTCAAGAAAGATTTTAGGCTCATGAGGTTTATGTTTGTCTTTTATAAGTAAATTTTTCTACTGGAATGAAATAATATGCGGCAAATTCAAATTAAAAAAAGATTGATTGTTAAAAATAATTAATAATTAATAAAATAATTTATATCAATTATGTAATAAATTAAAATTAACTTGTAAATTGATATTTTTAGACATTATAATTAATTATTTTAAAAAATTATAAACTAATAAAATATCAATCATAATAAATAATATTTATGTAACATTAATATTTAAATGTGTAACCACAACTACAACCTAAAAAGAAAATATAATAATTATGAATGATATAATACAATTGTGGCTTTTGATCATTGAAATAATTTTCTTAGGTCACATCACGTTTACTTGTGCCAAGTAAGAAGTGACGTTAGAAAATCCTATAGAACTTTAATTAATGGATACTTCAAAAAATTTAGCTATTTCTAAAGGATGAAGATATTTTCTAAAGCCAAGCCTTAAATGAACAAAAAAAAAAAAAAATGCATGCATTTGCCAATAGCAATTCTTGCTTTGGCAAATCGGCAAATGGCGTTCACATCACCCCTTTCCAAGGCTGCTTTTATCTTCTTCCATTTGAAGGAGTACTTAGATGTCTGTCCATCACGATCAACATCTAAATCAACACCTTGCCTGTCTTGCTGTCTTTCTAATTCTCCTAATGGAAGTTTTCTCTTTAGGCCGAATGTGTTAAATTCCCTTAATATAAAGATGACTCATTTAACTTTTGCTATGTAATAAATTTTAAACATGTTGTGTAGTATCCATATCACATGTAGTTTTCTTCTCATCCTTCTTATTTCTGTTTTTTATACCCCAATCCCTTTGTGCTCTTTCTGTTTCCGTTTTTCACCTTAGATCCTCAATTGTTCACTGATGGTTTGGAAGAAGAAAAGGCACTAATTATTATGCTTCTTGTTTTTTGACACATCAAAGGAGAATTAGCTATCTGATATTATAGAAATTCAAACTGCTAACCTTAACTACAAATCAATATCTTGTAGTTGTTATGCTTGTTAGACTCAAGAGTATATTGAAACTGGAAAATTTTCCAGGAAAATATCTACTTTTCTTATTAGTTGATGATTGAAGGAACTGATTTGATAAAGAAGAAAACTTTGAACAAGTATTCAGTCAAGAACCTTCAAAGGGACCCTGCCTCAGGGCCTCCTATAATTCTGATTAGAAAAAATGTACACGTGTTAAAGTAGAGAGGTTTTTTATATATACATGATATTAGGATCAAGATGTACAACACACCCATGAGGTAGCAAATATCACCTCCAGAAGGCAAATCCCTACTGTTATCTAAAGCTGGTGCAGAGAGTTTTGACCAGTATACTTGCCTCTTGGGGCGGAAGGCATGAATTATTCATGAGGAACCTTTGCAGGTGTACAAGATGCAGCCCGATGTTGGATGCGGTTCATGCTTAGCTCCATACTTCTTTGAACCATGTCTTCCAGTAACTTCTTGGCTGTTTCAGCAGCTTTATCTGCTCCATCAACCCGTGTAGCAATGTCATAAACAATTTTTTCAAGAACTGAGGAAGCCAATTTCTTTTCCTGAGGAGTTTCCCTGAGCAAATCCAACAGTGTCCTAGCTCTCTCTTGAGCTATAGTGGTGCCCTCTACAGTCAGTCGCAGAAGACCAGGGATTGCACCCTCTTTAAGAATGAGTTCCCGGTACTTGTCTCGGCAGCTCTGACACATGGAAAGTAATGCTCCAACCGCATGCTGCATGCTAACAAGAGATCCATCTTCAACGGTCTCTACCAAGGTCAAAATCCCACCATCTGAGTTAGTGATGGCAACCCGCCCTTCTTCTGACTTAGAAAGGATCTCAAGTAGGGCTGTTGCTTTTTCAGCAAACTTGGAATATTTCTTGCATTCTTTTAGAAGTTTGATTAGTGGGAAAACTGCTTTAGCATCAAGAATGGGAACAGGATTCTCCTTGCAAGTGGATAGATTATGCAATGCAGTGACGGCATCAACTCTTCCTTGAACACTTCCAGAGCTAAGAATTTGAACTAAATGAGGTGCAGCTCCAGAAGCTACAATCATTGGCTTGTTAGGTGCAGCAGCAGAAAGGGTTAATATTGCTGCTGTGGCTAATTCTCGCAAACTACTGTTCTGCAATTTGAGTAGCTCCACAAGAGGAGGGACAGCACCTGCTGTCACTATGTTGACCTTGTTTCTGACAACAAAATAAAATCAGGCAAGAACCAAATTCACTATATTTTATAAATAGTATATTAACCATTTAATTAACCACTAAAGACTAAGAACGGAGGCATCACTTAGAAGTACGGCATACCACAAAAAATAAAACGAAAGAAAATTACTTAAGCCAGCACACTAAAAGACCATAAAATATAAATAATATTTTTCATTACTTAATCATCATGCAGCATATGAGAAAGGAAAAGTTAAGACAGTTTGCTAATATTACTATTAGAATCCCCATAGAATTTTAAAGACAAATATAGGATTTTCCCACCTCATCTAAGCATATACAGTAAATGCAACCTTCGAATACATAAATTTTAACAGAATCAAAGATTGAACAATTTCATTTTTAGGTGTCAAGGAATGATCAATCACAGGCAGAACCAACTCCAGAAGGGGAATTAGAGTATAATCCAACAAAACCAACCAAACTCCTATTGAATCCTAAAGAATCTTCAGCATACATGATACACCACAACTTCTACATGGTAATCCAAAATCCCCCATGTTTGCTCAGAAAATTTTGTAAATTTTACTCTACTACTTCAGACTTAAACTCAAAACTAGAAACTTTCCTTCCCCAATCAGGAATTTAATGGAAATTATTGAGTAAATAATTTATCAAAACGACCCCAAATCAATTGGCTTTTCCTTCCTAAATTTAACTCCATCCTCCCCTCCCCATCTTCACCAGCAATCAAAGAGGAGAATAGGAAATCAGAGCAAAAACTCGAGGAAGAACTTCTTAGAGAACTCATGAGCACCAAGAACTGAAATAATAACATGAAAACGAAGATGGATCTATGGGCAAACAGATGAACAAAAGTATTTGATATGTATATGTTGAGAGTTCAGACCTTTCGTTTCTAACGGCAAGATTGAGGAGAGCGAGGAGGGAGGCTTCCCGGGCATCATGATTAGGAGAGAGAAGCATGAAAACGAGTGGCTGGATTACTCCGGCAGCAGCGAACTTAGAGCGAGTCTTGACGGAGGATTTCCTGACGACTTTCCTTATGTCCCTGGCTGCTTCAATCTTGGCCTGGAGATCTCCATTTATGAGCTTCTCCGACAGTTCAAGTATGACGGTTTGCTTCTTGTGGTTCCATATCTCTTCCTCTTGGTCTCCGCCGATAGACGGCGATGCCGGTGGCGTCTCCTCCTCCTGGCCAAGCCCCATTTCTTCCCTGTAGAGCAGGGTTTGTGTTTCTTTGGGTTCGGATTCTGCCCTCCTGATTTTACCTTTTAGCTCAAGGGGTCGCGGGTTGCGTCGGGTCGGTCAACTAAAAATTGGATCGTAGTTAGTGCTTTGTATTCCTGACCCTAATCATACTTGGAACTTGGAACAGTTACGGTAGTCTTTTCTTTTTCTTTTTTGTTTTTTTGGGCCAGCTAGAGAAGTCCCAATTAGACATTAGATGAGTTATTGTGACATTTTTAATTACAAATATCATATTTTTTTTATTTTAAATGATCATTATATATTTTTTTAATTTATTAAGAAACCAAAAATGTGGAATTTTAAAAAAAATTGTGAGGATATAATTGATAATTATATTAAAAAATATGATATGAATTATTTAAGATATGACAGTAACTCTATCCATTAGATGAGATGCAATAGTATAGATAGATTTTTACTTCTTAATCCCCACCTTACATTTAGTTTAAGATTCAAATTTGATAGTGTTTACACCTAAAAATAAACCAATAGAGAAAGTCCATGTGTCAAGGTGAAGTCTAATTATCAAGAAAAGTCAGCAGGTTGGATTCGGGCTGGGCTGGATTATAATTTAAGGGCCCAAGACAGATTTTTAAAGAAGTTGGATTTTAGGTAGTAGAAGATAAAATAACTTCTGATATTTGAATTTGATTTAAGTTACAAAGTTGAGAGTTTTTAAGAGGATGTTATCTCTAGGGTTTTATTGGAGATAAGATTGAGTAAAAACTGTCAACTGCCAGACAACTGCCAAACATGGAACCCCCACTACTCGATCATGGTGGGAGAGGGCCAAGAAACATGGAGGAGGTTTCCCAGCACCCAAGAAAAGAAAAACAGGAGGAAGAGATCAATTACAAATGGCCTGCCCTACACACTGCCTAGAGCATGTTTTTCAACTTTCAGACTGCTTTTTCTATATTTCAGCAATAGTTTCTAGATTAGTTTACCAGATCTGTTCTTGTTCATAGCCTTAGGTTAGCTTTTTCCATCCTTGTTCATATCTTTCGTTAAAGACTTCAAAAGCATTTGGAAGCAATTCAGCTTGCAAAACAAGTCTGCCCTATTGATTTGGTTAGTTTCTCTTTCTTTTATGGATTTAGTTATGCTATTTGTTCATATAAATAGGTTGAATGCTTTCTGCCTTTGTTCTTTTGTTTCTGCACAACAGCCAGACATGCAGTTTATTTAATTTCAATTTCCAGATTTAGTTTTATAAGTTTCCAGACTTTAATTATTTCGTAGTTTCTCTCTTAGTTTTAGTTATCAAGTAGTTTAGTTATTTTTATTTTAAATTTGCAAGTAATTAAATTTATTTTGTTATGGATTGTGTAGTAGAAATCGTTGTCTATGATTTTACATTTTCTGCTGTTTGCGAGTTTTATTTTTATGGCATGTTGTTTTCTTTTATTGATCTCATGATAGATTAATTGCCTCAGAATTTTGTGTTAATTTAGGATTTGTAGCTTTTATTATGCTTTTGTGGTTGTAAAGTGCTTGGAGGTTTTCAAGGCAATTAGTAACTCATTTTGCAGAATTCCACCCTCTGTTTTGTAACATCGTCTGGGGCGCAATTTATTTTTACAGACGTTCTTTCTAACCATCCCATTGGAGGTCGACCGTTGGAAAGAAGAAGGGTCATTTGGAAAATCCTGTTTTCTTGTTTTTAGACAAAGCAAGTAACATGCCTAACAACCAAACTCACGTGGTAAAAGCCAGCTGAGGATTTTTGGGGAAACAGATAGTATGATATAGTTAAGAGAAATAATTTTGGGATAATTTTTTTATACCATATTTTGGTGTAACTCGATGGGTTATTTAAATGATTAATTCTTTTTATTCGTATGGGACCCATGATATTGAATACACCTACTCATTTAATAACAAGTAAAAGTTGTATCAAAAGGTGATGTAAAAAAGTTATCTTTATAGCACCGCTATGTAATTATGACGTATTTAGTAATTAATGAACTTATTTCATAAATGAAATTAGCATTACATTTAAAACATTAAAAGTAAAAATATATAAAATTATATTTTTTTATACTAACCCCAATATACAGAAGTCACATTATATCTTAACTAATTCGGAGTAAAGTTGCCTCGGTTTCTATAAAAGGACACACTCCCAAGTCTCAACACATATTTCTTTATTATCAAAACTTAAATTTGAGACATTATTTAAGGAAACTGAACTTATTCCACTCATGTCAACATGTTGTTGGTATAAAATTATATTATTTTAACAAAACATCATGATGTGAAAAAAATATCACAAGAAATGACCAAAATAATTTTATTATTTTTTTAAAAATAAGTTATTTTAGTCAATTTTAATATAAATTTATCGAAATAACATAGTTTTAGAATGTTTTTCTTTTTATTTTTTAAAGGGTATTTTAATAGCAAATTATTACATTATTTTCACATTAATTAATATTGAAAAATATAAAAATTGTTATTAATTTCATCACCAATATTATGTGAATTATTTTAATTGAACAGTTGTTTAAATAAAGGTCAACTTTTTTTAATACTATTCACTCCATTTATTTTTAGTCAATCTAATTTGATTTTTTAACATTTTAAACATAAATTTTAAAAGAAAATTTATGAATTTATATGAATAATAATTGAGAAGTTTTTTCTTTTTATATGAAATCCTTATTGAATACTTTTATTTGATTAAAAAATTTTAATTATTATTTAAATAATATATTAAATTTTTATTTAAAAATCATGTTTAAAAAGTCTAAAAAATGGAATTGAATCAACTAAAGTAATTAATATAAAAAAAATGCAATAATTGCACCCTAGAAAAACCTTTTTTTAACTTAAGAACAAAGGCTAAGATTAATCAATTTTCTACTACTAAATTATTAGATGATTAAACAATGTATATTAATACCTCCTCCTAAGTAGTAAGCATATTTTTCTTTAACCTAAAATAAAATTATTAATTTTAAAAATATGTATTTCAAATTTTTTAAACAAATTTCTTCATTTCGGCCTTTGATTATTTCACTAATAAATGTCCATCCAACGAACATAATCTATGATGGCCTATTTAAGCTTCATTTGGGAGTTCTTTGCGCAGCACTTTTATTGTGTTTAAAAATGTAAATTTATTTTAAATTATTAATTTTAATTAATATTTTATATGTTTTTGTAATAAAATAAACAAAATACACGGCCCAACACTCTTAAATAAAGCTATAGTTTTTTTTTTTAATAGGATAAGGCAAATTATTCAACTTGTAGAAAAAATTAATTACATAAATTTAAGCCCTCACCAATGAATAAGAAAACTTCTTACATCTAGAATTTTGACCAATTAGCCTAAAGACCTTTGTTGGCAGTCTATTTAATTTTGTTGAATGTTTAAACTTATTTTAGTATTTCAATACCTTAATATTATAGCAAATAGAGTGTCAAATTTGGCATTTGAATCACATTTTTACTTTTAACACACTCCAAATTTGAAAATATTTTTTCTGACATTTTCTTAAAAGGTATTAAAATTTTTTCTCCCAATTTTCTAAATAACTTTTTCAACAATACTTTTCCCACAATTTAAAAAAAAAAAAAACTATGTAAAAAAAAAAAAAAGGCTAATTCGAACCAAACAAATTAACCATATGAATAGCATCAGTCACGTGTTCACTATTGCAAAAATTAAGAGGGTACCATCGGAAAACTTATACATTAAGAGAAATCGCTTGGGCTTAAACATTGTAATTGGGTCAAAACCCAAACGAAGCAAATGTAGGGTATCTACCTATTGATCGACTGAAAAATAAGAACAGAGAGACAAACCCTCAACATGTTAGCCTGAGTATGACTCTCCGTCCACCTATATTAAACTTGAACAATCTAGGCTTTATTAGATACCTAATGTACCAGGGCTCAAATGACCGAAAGAGTCTATAGTCTATACCTAATTGGAAAAACATATAAGGATGTTTTTCTTATAAATAACATTTTTTCTCACAAATTTAAATTTTGTTAGAGAAAAAAATGTATTTTTTAACAATTAAAGAGCTTACAATCAAGTTCTATGAGAAGCTCCAAATTAAAACTTTTTCTAAAACCTACTTATAATTTGAAATTTTGGAGGGAAAAGTTACTTATGTTGAGCTTCATCACACAACCCTAAAGAGAATGTCTTATATGACTTATACTCAATAAATTTTACATGTATATTGAAAAGCATAAATTACATACATATTAAATTTGGTTTGGACCAAGTTGATAACTGAATCAACGACTCTAACCCATTTTTTAAGGAAAGGAATGATGGAGGGGAAGAGAAAGTGCCAAATTAATGTGATAGGGATAAAAAATTAATCTTTAAGAGGTGTTTTAAATTAGTAAAAACTTAAAATTTTAAGTTAGAAGTTTCAAATTCAATTTTTTAATATGAGTTTTTTTTATTGTATAATTTATAATCAGATATATGAAAAAAAAAATTGAAATTAAAAAAAATAAAAAAAATAAAAAAAATAAAGATATACGAATATTTCCTTTTATAATGGATTATATAATATTAGATAACTCTCTTTTTTTTTTTTAATCTCTCCCCACCTATCTTAACTTGATATTTTCAACTTATAATTTTAAATTTTTAACCATTTAAAATGCTTCTTTAGGGGCAAAAGATGAATAGCTTAGATTGTATGAGAATTTTATTATATCGAGAAACTTGCCATGTGTTAGTCCCAAAATCTCCACAACAAACCCAAGGTAGCACAATTGAGTAGCCTAGCTCTTTTATAATAACAGCATATCTAAGACTTGCCAAGGTAATTTTGAGGGCAGGTTAGCACACAGAACACACACCTAATGGTTCCAAGGAATCTTACTAGTGAATACCAGAATGTCACCTTGACATAACGATGAGTATTTATCCTTAAACCTTGCCACTGTCTAGCAAGTGCAACTCACTCTCACTGTCTATTCCTCTTCTTTGTCATTACTAATGGATTGACTTAAGCATCAAGGTGTTTTTGTTAGAAGACACCTCCACTGATCTCACCTTGTTTCACACTCTTTAGAGGGGGCTCCAATGATAAGCTAGAGATCAATTACGCGCCCTCTCATTGTTGATTTGGTTAACAAGCAACATAGTCATTTATGGCAAGAAGGTCAAATAAGCTCCCATACTGTTCCAACCTTGCTTCTATCAAATATAGGCACCTGTCCGACTCCAGAAAACGAAGCTCTTGCATTTCCCTTTTTTTGGCAACTGATTCCAGCAATTAAACAAATTGGATCTGAGGAAACCCAAAGAGGGAGTTGCACTCTTTGACCTTTAGGAACGAATTACTCAACCAAGATCCCATGTCAAATTCATCAATAAACAACAAACTCAATTCCTTAATCATTGAGACCCAAATGGTAGCTGGCCACATGTGTAGGAATGGTAACCTCGATAAGGCCTTTTTTTCTTTTGTGAAAGTAGATAAATTTAGAACTGAGACTGATAGACGCTTATAGATCATTTGCTTTCGTAAAATTCTTTTTTCAAATAACAAATAAATAATTTAAGAAACTAGGCAAAAGCGAAAGGCAATAGAAAAAAAAAATTGCTGATGGATCAATTAAGAACAAAGTATAAACCATTGCCATATCATAGAAACCAAAGAATCAACAACAAAATTCTTATGTATTAACCAAAACAACAATGATTTTCCCAAAAATGTGCCAATTGTTTACACCAGCACAAATTTCCTATTACTTTTCACGAAAATAATAAACAAAATGATTTATTAAAAAAAAATTTTATAATAAAATCTAATATCATGAGGTGACGTTTTAGCTGTTTTAGCCCTTTAATGTATTCGGCCGTTTTATAAAATTCATTTTAAGCTTCATTTAAGAATTTGGTTGTCAAAAATCAAAGGTTAAATCCCCGGTTCAGTCCCTCAACTTTCATTTTTAAATTAAATTTACCCTTCTGTCAGTTAAGTGCTGCTGTAATGAAATTCTCCATTAACAAATTCAATTTCTATTAATATTGAATATTACCTGAAAATAAAATAAGCGACGTGGCATCTTTTAACTATAAAAATATTATGACATGGCACCATGAATATAATTTAATAAAGAAAATTTTCTTTCCTTTCTTTTTTTTTTTTCTTCTCTTTCTCTTTCCTTTTCTCCTTCCCCTCCTTACTGGGTTCGAAGGAACTAGCACCAGCACTTGGGTTCCTCAAACCCAAGCGCGAAGGAACCCAGGGTTTGGGTTCAAGGAACTCGCGCCTGAGTTTTAATGAACCCAAGCGTGCTGGGTTCAACCTAGCGCGCCTGGGTTTGAGTCGAACCTGCCTAGGTTTTTTCTTCTGTTTCTTTGTTCTTCTGTTTCTTTGTTGGCTACAATCATACTTGGCTATCTTGGTATGGGATTTAAAGTTTTGTGTGGCTTCTGCTTGCTTAAATTTCAAGATCTAGTTACTGTTGGTGTTGATTGAAGGAATATTGTGTTTTTTACATTTTCCTTTACAGATCTGGTAAAAATTTACAGAATAATTGATTTTTTGAATCAGATCTATTGGCCATTATTATTGTTCGAGGAACTAGATTTGGGTTCCATTAGAGAGGAGGTTTGGGGAAGAAGGAGATGGTGATTGGAGTGGTAAGGGATGACAGGAGCAATGAAGGATGATTGGTGCTGATCGGGTTATAAGATGAAGAGACATCTAAGGATAGAGAGAGACGAGAAAGGAGGAAAAGAGGGGCTGGAAGATGAAGATGGGGTATTTAAGAAATTTTAAAATTTTTAATAAATAAATTAATTAAAATTACATGAACAATAAAAATATAACAATGAGTCAAGTTATTTTCCACGTAATTAAAGATTTCAAAGAAGAATTGATTTCGTGAGAACTTAACGTGTCATCTGGCACTTCCATCGACGGAATGACGAAATTGGTCCCAAAAATTCAAGTTCAAGGATTTTTTTAGTACTTTTTGAAGTTTGAGAGTAAATTTAGTTCAAAATGAAAGTTGAGGGACTGAACCGGGGAGTTAACCAAAATCAAAATCATCAGTTCCCGAAAAAAGTGAAAGTAAAATCAGTAGTAATAATCATTTATCAGACCCGTGAAGTTCGGTGATGGACGTAAGATCTGGCTGCCACGAGGTGGCGTTTCTGGGCCGCCGTTTCCCTTCGCCAGCATTGGAATCGGGGCTTTTCTTCGGAATCCCCTGCTCTGTCTTCCCAACCGCCTTGTTCTTCCCATCAATTCCGATAAATCTCATCTGTTTTCTCACTTCATGCTTCTTTCTTCTTCCTCCGATTGAATCTCCGCCCCCTGAATTTCCCTTGGCAAACATGTTTCCCAAGATACAAGCTTCTTCTCCGTCACTCTGTTTCCTAATGGTCTTCCGGAGCTTCCTGACGGTGCGTTTTGGAACAAGGAGAAACTTTTCGCCGGGTGTGAGAATCTCCTCCGCCCGTACCAGAGATTCCCCCGGCCGCCTGAAAACCTCCGGTCTAGCGAAATTGGGATACTTCTTCATATTCAAGCAGCAGGGATGGCCATGTAATAGTACTCCACTGTTCCTCCAACATGGACAATTCTCAAAGCCGCCGAGGAGGGTTCTGCCTCCTCCATCTGGGGTGGAGGAGGAGCTACAGGTTTAGGCTGAGCACCGTGACGAAGAGAGACGAGTTTGTGACGTTCAGAATCTTGTATAGCATGGCGGCAATGGCTGTTAACAACGTACTGTCACGGCGGAAATACATAATAAATAGAGTGTACTCTTCTGAATCATCGATGAATTCTAATATGAACATGAATCAGATTTTTTCCACCATGGATGAAGGATGATGACAGTCAAGATAAGATCAATGGAGGAATAGGAACACCACGTAGATTCCTTACGGCTACCCCTTTTTTTCTCTTTTAATTTTACATTATAATAAAAAATAACTTCCACTTATTTCTTAATTCACCTTTAGACATTTTATTTATAATTTTGTGTTATATAATAATAATTATTTCTTAATTCACCTCATCAAATACCAAACACTATCCCAGTCTAAAACTATTTAATTTTATTAAATAAAGATTATCACTTATAACAAAAAGAAATTACTTATAAAAAAAAAAAAAAGGAAAATTAGTAGTGTGTTATTTAGAGAGTTGGTGCTAGTTTACTTTAGTTGTTTTGCCTGTGTTGTAGTTCCCTGTGACATATGACAAATAACCCTCCACTTAAAATCTTGCTGACGCCCGTCGCATATAAAAACTTTTCCTGCCATCTGTATCATAACTAGTAAACTGATACCAACGATTTATTAGTCTGAGAGTAAAAAACTTAATTTTTTTGTAAACAAAGTTTTAAATTTAAATCTCTTAAATGAAAAAAAATAAAAAACAAAGCATTGAAAGAGTTTTTTTCTAATAAAATCTAATACATTAATCAAGATCCAATATAACTACCGAATACCGAAAAATTAGTATAAAAAAAAAAAAAACTACTAAGCTGGTGTTGTTATATGAGTCATTGACATGATATCAAATTAAGAAATTCATGAAAAATTACTTTTTTCATAACTTAATAAAATTATGATTGAACTTATGGGAGCTATAATCATGTCAAGTATCGAAAATAATTCTACACGCCAAGCATTGATTTGGATATCCTACATTTACTATGAAATAATTGAAACGGTTCGCCTTTGCTTATACCAATTACAACAATTCAGTACATTCTTTCCTTGCTATCAAAATTCACTTTACAAGTATGTCAATGGAAACAAGAGAAGAAGGGGATGGAAAATTTTTCCATTGACCTAACATCATAACTCCCAGAACCCTATAATACCTTGATAATAGGGGAAAAAATGAACTGAAAGACTCTCAACAATCAACTGTAGGTTCTAAGAGTTCAAAAATGAGGCTTGGAACTATGAAATGGAAAACTGGTAACTCCAGATAGCAAGAAGAGAAACACCTGCACTTGCCTAACTGAACTAACTTAAGAATGGTCAATATCAGTTACAGGCGAACCAGACCTTTTATGCTTTCAAGTCTCAACCCAAGCAACCAGAAGAATTTTTACCCTAACCTCTGGCCTCCTTAATTAATTAGATTTACACTCACCTTTGGCCAATTTTGTCTCCTCTGGATGTGTTCTGTGTCTGAACGGAGCAAACTTGTTGGATTTCCCAAAAATATCCCAAGATTGGATGGACATGAAATTGTTGTTTTTGCTGGTATACGAAAAATAACACATTCATCACTGTTTCAGTAGCTACTGGGCCAATTAATTTGAGCATGTTGTGGCGGTTGATAAACACTAGCTGCAGGTCCCACCATATCAACTGCTCCAGCCATTGTCTGAGACTGTTGTAGAAGAGGATGAACTGTTGCTGCTGAGACTGCCTGGGCAGGGTGATAGATACTGGAGAAGGGGCCAGGAGCAGCCTGTGTCGGAGCAAAGGTTACATGCTGACCCTGTGGTGGAAGGTTATAGAATGAAGTTGGAGGCAAGCTGGACATGTCGCGGCCAGGAGCAGCAATCCATACAGCTGATCCTTCACTCTGCAAAAACCATGTCCATGAAAATCAATGATAAGAAAGAGAAAAACAGACCTAATTAATAAAAGTTTTTCTCTTTCAGAACTAATTAATAAAGGTAGATGCAATGCCCCAGGGCACCAGAATGTCCTGCTTTAATTTGGTTATATCTTGTTCCCCAAGGAACAGTTAGAGTTTGAAGCTTCTGAGTTGGAGGTCTAGATCCAAACCTTAGGACAAGCAAGGAAGGATTTGGAAAAGGGAATGACTATCCTATCTCCAAAAAGAATTTGGTTAAACAATGCGAGCTTATCTTGAATAACAAGCAGAAAATAAACATCAGCTTCTCAATAGAGACCAACATACACCAATAATTGAGAGAAAAAAAAAAAAATCATTAACTTTTGCTCCTCTCTAAACCAAAATGAAAGGACAGGGTGAATAAATGAGAAGGAAAACACCTAAAATCACAAGGGCAACACAAATACTGCCTCCATTTGACTCAGTCACATGACAGCAATAATGCAACACCATTGCCATCTCAACATGACCAACATAGTTGCCTACCTAGTATACAACCTATGACACAATAATTTCAATAATCTCTGCTTTTGAATATATCTAGCTATCAAACATCTTAGCAACATTGCTACTATTGCCCAAAATCAGGTAAACAAGTAAATGTACTTGTCCAAAAATTAATTTAAATTTAAAACAATAGCAACAACACAGAACAGCTCCAAGGCTATCCTACAGCTGACAATATCAATAGCAGCAATATGATATAACCAATGTTGTTGCCATTAAAAATCACTTTGATTAACTGTAAACAAACATTACAGTTAATTATGTTCACAAGCACCATAACTTAAAAGATGATATTTATCATTTTCTAACACATGCTATCATTAATAATGGGAGGAAACTAAAACAAATTGGGATATAACCCTACAAGCCAAGATCTTAATGGTCACATTCTGATCTTAAATAGGGATATAAATTAGGATGTCCTCACGTCCTAGATGCCAGGACTGCATGTGAAATTGTTTAGATATCTTTGATGAATCTCCTTGCATACTATTCATTATATGTATTTAAGCCTTTTCATTATCATTCCAGGCATTTTAATTACCAAGATGTCCTGATTTCCCACAATCCCTTTCATAAATAGTCATTTTCAGAAGTGAAAAAGTTAAACTAATCATAAAAACGATAGAAAGAATGCATATAACAACCTGCTGCCCAGCGATGTAGACGTTGCTTTCCTTGAACTGAGATGCAGCAAGATCCTCATTTGTTGTTGAATTCCCAGTTGTGGAAGCTGAGCTGGGATTATAACCAGCTGGGGAGGAACCATATGTCCCATATCCACTTGGCATTGCAATATGAGTAGAGTTTCCCATGTTAGTTCCCGGTTTATACTGAGGAAGAGAAAATTTGACTCCTGTTATAGTTCCTGCTGGTTGAGATGGGTATACACTACCAGCTTGAGGTTGCTGAGGAAAAGTGCCATTACTCAAATATTGATGCATGGCTGGGGAAGGAACATAGTAAGGTGAGAAATAGGGGCCATATGGAATGTAAGGATATTGAGGGATATGCACTCCAGGTGGTGGACGGAACACAGGGACTGGTTGCTGAGTCACAGCTATAGAACTTTGCATAAGCCCAGCGGCTTGAGTCACCAGTGGAGTTGGACAAGCTGTAGTCAGAACCAAAGAGTTTGTACCCTGCCAACATATGTGAATCAGCTGTAGAATAAAATTATTTAAATTAATACAAGTTAATACAAACAATGATCTGTTCAAACCTCTTGAGAAGACTGAGAAGATGGAGGCAGCAATGCAGCATTCCCATTGTACTTAGTGGCAACTCCAGGGGATGGAAAAGGAGAAACACAGCCATCATTATCAGGAGCAGCCCGGTAAAATTGAGCATAATAACCTGCTGGATCAATTGGTTGTTGCACCTGAATATCATTTATAACAAAAGTAGTTAGTTCTAAAGCGAATCAGCACATTAACATAAAATGGTTATATAAGGGGGGCAGAGGGGAACCTCGCTACATAAATTTTAGGTTTGAATATGATGCTTATCAACATCGTAACCTAAGAAGTAAAGTTTTTTATTCTTACAACAAAACTTGGAAGGCGAGAAACATCACGTGCTTGAGATTCAGAGTTTTCAAACTGTGCAAACTGACCCCCTAACATGGAGGGCAGAAAACCAAAACTATAGTTGGGAGAAGTCTGGACCACAGAGCTATGTTGGCCTCCAGACAGCAATGAACTCTCCTGCTTGCTTTCACTGAATTCAGGAACAGAACCGGCAGAGACATCACCCTGACCAGACAAATTTTCTGGTGCATGTGTGGGAGATAGTGGCTGATCAGGATAATCTTCTTCCCCCACAGATGCCAGTGCATTTGGGTTACTGGAAAAAGCAATGCAAGGTGTTAGGAATGTAAAAACTAAAAAGGGCAGTCTGATTACAGCTATAAAATCTAAAATGCATTAGTCATATGCAGAATATATATGGCCATAGAAGGAAAAGGAATTCAGGATCCAGAATTAAATCTGTATCTCATATGTCATGTCCTGTTTTGTACTTTTATCTAGATTCCAAAATAAAATGCATAGCCATAAAAATCAATTACCCAGAAGTTATGCAAAGATGCTAGGCAAGGATGATTTATCATGATCTGTAAAAACTTATGCCACACCACCAATTCAGAACATGGCAACCCAGCTTCACTAATAACAAGATTATTTCAATGTGTGGCAAGATCAACTATGTTCAACAAATTCTACTAATGAATCATGACATTACAATCTGTAATAAGGTTAGTATTGCAAACCTTGTAACCTGTTCATCCATGACTTCTGCAATGCCCTGAGAAGTCTCAGACAGAGGTGTAGAGGTCTTATCACTCTCAGGACCAGCATTATAGCTTGACGTTACTCCAAAACTAGCATCAAAACTTCCAAAACTAAACTTGTTCCTTTCAGATTCAGGAACATGAATATGGTTTGGAATTATAACATGTTGACGTTGTGGGAGATGCAACTCCTCCAGCTTCTTATGCAATTTTGAAGTTGCTTCTTCTGAGTCCAGAACACTTGAAATAGGCTGTGGCTGAGAACTGGCTTCAATTGAAGCAGCAGGGACTTCAGATGCATCACCTTTAACAGATCCTTGTACAACATTCAAGTTTATTTGCTTTGGTTTCCACTCCTTAATTGAGCCAACTGTCAAGAACAAACATCAAATTAATAATTACCAGGAAAACTTTAGCAAGCAATGCCACCACATTTAAGTAAGAATACATTATAAGGGTCAAATTATTTTTCAATATCAACCAGAAAAAGATGGTGGCTGAAACATATTCATGGAAAGTCATACAACATTGACAAAGTGAAGGATGAAAAACCAAATCAAACATGAATTCAAGATCCTAGAACTTAATAAAAAATCTTCCATTTTTCTTATGGTATAATAATGATTTGCCCTTCAAAATTTAGGCTAAACATCTGTAACCTTAAAATAAACTACCAAAGGAGAAGAGAAACATATGCCTGGATAGCAAAGATGGATGCAATGCAACAAGCAAACTACAATAACTGCCATTAATCTGAAGATTAAGGGTATGTTTGGGATTGCAGTGAGCTGCTGTGGTTGAAAGTTAATTTGGTGTTTGATTATTTATTTCTTAAAAGTATTGTGGATAACGTATGGTAAATTTTTTTGTAGTAATTTAGGTTTTTTAGGTTTTATATGATGTGTGTTCTTTTGGGTTTCGCAAGGGAGCAGCTCATAAGAAGGGAATGAGTTTCTAATTTTTTATGGAATCTTCAAATAAATGAGAGGTTAGGTTTAAATAAAGTATTATAAATTGTAGTGTAATTGAATTAAATGAGGTTGGGTTTTAATGGGCAATTTTATAATTGCATTAAATATTAGATGTTGTCCTTGAAAGCACAGCCAGAAAGCTCCAAAATGAGGTTTCTGGTTTTATATATAAAATTGTTGTGGACCTACTGTGGCTTTCTATAGCTTTCAAAAAATGGAGTCCGAAAAAAAATTACCAAGCACACATATATCTAAAAGCACCATATGGATACAAGAAAATGCCCACAACCATAATCCCAAATGCATCCTAACTCTAATTTGTCAAACAAATACCTTGAATATTCAGGTGATTCTTCTTAATGCAATAGCTGCAATTATTTATTCTTGTTATACACAAAAAGTTAAATCACAAATGCCCAGTTCATGGTCCAGAGAAAGAACCTATTAGAAGTTCCAAAAGCTTAAAGATATGCATCAAAATATATGAAACTGATTTTCCTGAAAGAATATCAATTCTGGTTACCTTTCTGAGGACCAATTTGTTGCAAGCGACTACTGTAATTGGATGGAGGCCTACTGACCGAAGAGCCACCTAGTGTTGATGAAGTTGAGGCCTCTCTGAGCTGATTTTTTGAGACTCCCTGGGACTTGCTTGGCAACTTTGCTTGTATGAAAGTGGTCCTGTTCTCAGGAGCTGCCATCAGTAATTGAACAAAACTAATAAGAATAACCAGATTAAGATATTTAAGTTATGAAAAACTAATGAAAGTACACAATCCTGACCAGCAGTTAATTTGTTTTCAGAAGGGATATCAGCATTTATTTCAGTAGAAGCACGATGGCTTCCGACTTCACGTTTAATAGTGCCTGCAGTACCAGGGATACGAGAGTCATTTGATGGCATCAGTACAGGATCTGAAGATGAGAAACAGACTGCTGATGAAGGTGCTGAAGCTGTCAACATGGAGCAGTTACTAGAGCTTGCTGCAGGATGTCCATTTGTGTCCCCGGTTCCGAATGCAATTATATGGTTTTTGCTCGTATCAACATTAGATGGGACATTCCCTAGCTTATTGATGTCATTAGATGATGAACTTACTTCAAGTTGGTTTACACCACTTCTTGCAGGTACAGGTGGGGTTACTGAAGCAAGACTAGCAGGACCATTGGCCATAACAGTTACAGAGCTACAAAAGATGACAAAAAATAAAAAAACCTTACTCCCCCAGAAACCATTTTTCAAGAATGACACTAGCGGAGTTTAGAACCATAAAAGATAAACAGGATTTTTAACATGTAGTCACCTGACCATCACAGTTGATTCCTTATTTTTTGTCTCCAGTGAGGAAGACAATGATGGGCTGACACCTTTTTCTGAGACTTGATTGGTTCCACTGTCCTTTCCAGAAGCAGAATTCTTGGCACTACCAGCATCTGATATAAAGAAGATAATTAGCCTCAGCAATCATAAATTATCCTAGCAATGCAACAATTGCTATACTAGTAATTCGTATTTACTATAGTACCTACAGCAATATTTCCCATGTCTTATGGTACTGGTTGAGGCAAAAGGATGGAAAAAAGTATTTTAGCCAAAAAAAAAGTATATATGTTGAAAAAAGTAAAGAGGCCAAGATTGGAAAACACAATCAATCTATTTGTACATAGCCATAGAGTATTCTATAGACAATAGTCTCATGTTTACCATTAGCCAGGTAACGAGGGGAGAAATTTCCCCTACCACCCCTGCTACCCCTCCCTGGTGCACCAGACCTCCACCGAGACTCTGACTCTTTGTTGTTCGAATTCTGCAACATTATTTACAATAAACACATAAGGTCCATAAAGAGTAAGTCTGAATCTGAAGAGCAACAAAGAAAACACTTTTCATATCTTTCATTTGATTAAGACTTTTGACTAAAGTGATCATGAAACTAATGAGCTACTTGATGGAAACAAATGAGCAGTACCTCTCTCTCAACACCCCCTCAAAATAAAAATTAAAAAATTTATATATTATATATCCTTAACCACCTCTTCAACATCAAAGCAACAAGAGACAAAGAAAGAGGATGAATAAGAAGATTTTTAAAAATCTTAGCACAAAAATCCTTTTAATAACAAAAAGTGCACCATTAGTCTATGTCTACATGAAACCAGTGTATCTTATAGACAGTGGCATCAAGATAGAATTGATTTAATATGACAGTCTACAGGTGAAAGGAGCTACTATTACTTAGTTCAGAAAGCATGGAATTAAACATTAAAAGATAGACATGGCAAAAAAGAAGAAATAAAAAGGTAGACGACTTGCAGGATTAAAAATTATTCATGCCGACAAATTATAATAGGGACACCATCCAACAAAGGAAAAACCATTTGGATGGATAAATAGCAGAGTGCAAGTTCCAATATTAGAAATGGCTATTTATGCAAAAATGGTAAGAGATAAAGGATACCAATCCAGCAGAACAGAACAGTAACCACTCTTAAAATAAATAAGCACAACTTTGATCGTAAATCATTACAAAGCTGAAAATTCAAAGCTAAATTATAAATCTCATACCTCTTTCTTCCTGTCACGTTTTCTTTTAACCTCACGGAAAGGATCTGTAAGACGAAATACACATTTGTTATCTTGTTGGAAGAAAATAAAACCAAAAAAGAAAAAATCAAAAACTCTATCACAAAATTTATGGTGGGAAAGGAGTATTGACCCATTGTCCCATTCACAGAAGAACTAGTTGAGCAGTTGCTTAAATAGAGTGAAATTCAATAAGAGCCTAATAATACCCGAAGATCACTTGCATAAAGCAAATCAGAAACTTAAATTAAGTAGGAAAAAGCTGATAAATTGATATCACATAAAGAGACTTAACATGATGCGGCAAGATGTCACATTGAAGGCTTGAAGCTAATATCAATGCCAAAAAACCAACAACTAAAATTATTGATCAGCAGACATCAACTTCTCCATCTAAACAAAATGAGACTAATCAATTTTGAAACAGGATTGAACCAACTACTTAAAAGAAATAAAGAGATAAAACCAACAACCACAACTATAGTTCACACTTCCTCTCCTTATTAATTTGCTACATCCTTTTAAACTTCCAATCAAAATGTTGAACATCCTCAGAATAATGCCAGCATTATATACTAAAGAAAGCATGGCTAACCAAGCGGTGTTCTAACAGTTCAATGATTCCATACATTAGACAAACACACACATCTTGCAAAGGCAATGTGAGGTAACAAGCTTAAAAAAATAAAATAAATAAAAACAAAATAACACTTAAAAGTTCCTCTGCACAACCTTTCCCAGCAAAGAAATGAAAATATCATTCAAAATTAGTAGACAAGTAGCTCCAAAAATGCGCAAGGATGGAGCATAAAATGATTTAGTTCTTAAGACATGCAACCTCAACTAGTCTTAGTCTGTCACCAGAACATGCAAATTAGATTGCTTTTACAGTTACTTTCAGCAATTATCATAATTATCCATACCATTTCTCTTCAGTCAATATATGGTGTGTTGGAGAATGATTTGTTCTTACAATAAATGATACTGCATCAGAAGCTAAAGCTCAAGCAAAAGAAAGGGAAAATAATGAACTGCAATTTTTTTTCTCTTTTTTTTTTTTTTTCCTTCATTATGTAGCAAGAACTGAGTCTAAAAAGGAAATAAGATGACGGGGCAACGACAAAGCATAGAATTTGATCTTAGGAAAACAAAATTTGCCACAAATGCCACTATCTGAAATTTAATTAACGTAAGCCCTTATTTAGGGTCAGGGCTGTTTTAAGGTTTGGTTGTTAAAAATTTAGCAACAGTAGATTAAAACTCATTTAGTACAGCATCATGCTGTTTTCCAAAGGTCTGAAAACTAACAACAAGATTTTGCAGTTCATTAAAGCCAAAAGTTTGAGTTTCCAGTTGTTTACTATTGTTTCATCAATTGTTATTGGTTTCCAATAATAATAAACATATGAATACAAATATTAGGAATAAAATAGAAACAAAAACAGTTTTGACTGCTAAATAAGTTTTCCTTTGATTGTCAGTATGGAAAACTTTCATTTTTTGGTTTTGGGGAAAAAAAAAAAAGCAACAGCACAATACGAAAGGGAGCCTAAGGTCCCATTTCATAGCCAAGCCCTTCTACCAACAAAGATCAAAGAAACAAATATAAACTTTGTTGTAACACTATTAAAAGTCTCAAGAGCAAACAATTATGGATTCCCAATAACAATTAATTAACCTTTAATTCATTGATAAATAAATAATAATAAAAAAAAAAAAAAAGGGAAAAGCCTAAAGCTTTGCTTTTGGATAGATATACAAGGGGAAAGGGTCATACACATAAACATCCAATCAAAATCTAGCTAACACAATTAACATTAAGAACTAATCCGAGCAAATCAGAAGTTGAAATCTCAGCTCAAACCCCATAGAAATAAAATCACAATAACTAAAGCCAAATTCAAATCCCAGGAAACCAAAATCCATTCAACCACAGTCACGGATCAACCATTCAAGAAAACGAAATCAAGATCAAAAGCATGCAAGATAAGGAAACAGAAAATCGCAGCAAGAAACGGAGTAAAACGAAGAGGGAAATACCCTGAAGCAGCAGCCTTTGAGTGGTTTCATTGGGATCCATGGAACATTCTCTGAGCATTGCATAAATCTCCTCATCACTGTGATTGTTCGTGATCTCTTTGATGTTCTGGATCGTCTTCTTAACACTGGCGTGGATTGAAACCCTAAACCCACCACCGCTCATCTTCACAGACCCAATTCACTCCACAAACGACTACCCCCTTTTTCTACAATAATACTGAGTATTATATAGATGTATGTATCTCTTAATAATAAACAATAATGGGTGTTTCTGTGTATATAAGATGAGGAACAGGGAGAAAATGGGACTGTGATGGATATGGGAATGATACTAGAAGGAGAGCTACTAAAAGAAGAAGAAGAAGATTGCCAAAAACTAAGACTTTCTTGATGGGTATTTTGAATTGATCTATATGTCTAAGTAGAAGAAATGTTGGGAGAGAAAGGAGAGAGACAGCGGAGAGGGAGGGCGCAGGGCAAATGAAAGTCCTTTTCCGCCATGTTTTTCCCCTTTTATTTTGTTACTTTACTTATGGGAAAACATTTTGCTTTTTGTGAAAAATAATACTACAAAAAGTTAACGGGCAAACTAACGGTACAGATTTCAGCCCTAACCTTGAAAGGGATTCGAGGGGTAATAAGATTTTTTTTTTTTAATTAGTCCCTCCACAGCACAACAAAACAACTAATCACATTAAATTAAATTATTTAAAAAGTATTATACAATTTAAATGCTTATTTAATAGTTTTTATTTTATATTTCAATGTAGTTTAGAAAATAAAATAAGAACTCAAATTATACTCAATAATTTGACTTATAATATAAAATTTAGTATATTTATATGGTATTATTCTAAATCTCATGATATAAGAGCTACTCTAAACTAACATTTTATGTTTTGTGTATTTGAACTTGTTACGACTATGATTTGTTAATGGAGTGAATTGATTGTGTTGTGCCTACTGTTTGTTTAGGTTAGTTTTGTGATGTCTCAAATACTACTATTAAGAAAAGAGTTTGAGTTTTTGAGGATTTTTAGGCCTTAATTCAAAGAGTTGCTAAGTTATTGGTAGGTTTCAACTCAAATCATTTCAATTGGTATCAAAGTAATGACCACTCGTAAATGTGGGCTCATGCTTACCGTCATGACTAGTATTAATGCAAACTTCATATCACTTGAGATGAACTCTATGTTTATTGGCTAGTAGGTTTTGCTTTGATTGTAATTGGACTCGATGAGAACATCAAGTGTTTAGGTGAAGGAGATTGTGAAGTTCTAAATCCCTTGCACTAGCAATTTGAGTTTGAGTATTTGAAGAACGTGAACTTTAACTCTAAGAGTGGTTAAATTAGGAGTTGACTTTGACCTAGGTCATTTTAATTTTATTTTTTTCTAATCCAATATCATGTGCTCCATTGGACAATTGTTGTGTGGGGAAAAAAATTGGACCATTGTTCGCATTTTTATTTTTTTTCGAATATATTATAAAATTAAGTTATTTATTAAACGTTGAAAGTAGATTTTATTATAGTTGGAAAAATGATATAACTATAATGTTACTTGAAATTTTAAATTTGTAATAATGATATTTTATTATATAATTCACTCTTTTTATTTTAGAATTCTATTTATAATATTATATACATTTACTCATTTAATAACACATTATAATCATAAGTTTATAATCTTAATTATGTGATATTGTAACTATAGCATACTGATTATAAGGATAAAGTAATATTATAAGCTGATCATACTATGCTTCCTCAGTATAGTTAATAACATAACACAATTAAGAAATTTATAAAAAATGATCTTCTTCTAAAAAAATCAAAAAGTTGAGTAACTAAGAATAAACCGTGTTATAAAAAAAAGGTAGGTGTTGTTATTTTTTATAAATAAAAATAAATTTTAGAGTGATTTTTTTAATTTGTGCCTTTAAAGGTGCATTTGTTATATCTTATCATTAATTTGTATAAAAAATTACAGAAATAAATGTTATTATCAATACTGATGCTACATGAAACACTTTAATTAGACGATCAATAAAACTAAAGTCAACTTTTGTTTTATTCATAGAAATTAGTAGTTAATAAGTGTAATAAATGTATTTTTAATATGTGCCTAAAGCGTAGACTAGAAATTTCCATTTAGGAAATCTAATTTTTATGAAAGTGCAAGGAATGGCTATTTCTTAGCTTTCTTACCACATTCTACTCTCACAAAAAAATTACCCATTCTTAAGTTAGTTTAGGGAAATAATACATACACCCTCCAAAGTTACATACTGACGATTTTCGTAAGTGTATCGTTAAAATTGACAGTTTTCGTTATTTGTGCTGTTAAAATTGACAGTTTTCGTTATTTGTGCTGTTAAAATTGACAGTTTTCGTTATTTGTGCTGTTAAAATTGACAGTTTTCGTTATTTCTACCGTTAAAATTAACGGTTTTCATCAATTTTAACGACACACTTACAGAAATCGTTAATGTGTAATGAAGTATGCAACTTTTAGAAGGTGTATGTATCAGTGTCCTTTAATTTATCATCCAAAGCAAACACTAATAGTATGTTATGTTTGGTTTGAGAGGAATGGAAAGGATGAGGGGGTAGGGAAGGATTTTTTGACCAATCAAATTGCTAAATTATAATGTATGTAGACATAACAATTTGATTAGTCAAACAAAAAAAAAAATCATCCTTTCCCTTCATTCTCCTTAAATCAAACATGCTATAAATAAATTTATTAGGGAGAGATATGTGAGAGGGGCCATAACAAACCAAAAACAATCAACCAAACATAGAAATAGGCATCTCTTAATAATACGAGAAAAGTGTTTTGTTAGATATCATAAAATAATGGCCTTTTTTTATAAATAACCCTAACAGCAAATGAGGTGAATAAATAAAGGAAATGAGTGATATACACTCATTTCAACTCAATGTTTAACACTTGTTCAGTTTAGTTATTAAAATATAATATGTACAATCTAATTTAACTGGTTCTTCTATTCTTGTATTGTTGTATTTTTAAATTTATCTGTCATTAATTTCATATAAAAAAATAATAAATTTTAAATAAATATATCATGCAGTATGTTAGATCAGAATGTATATCAATCAGTATCAATAAAAAAAATGTTGTCTTTTTTTTTCATGAATAATATTTAGTTTAATCTTGATTAAAAAATAATGAGATGTTTTTGTGTGTGTTTTAGCCTTCTAGGTTCATTTTTTTTAATAGGTATAATTTAGGGTAGAGGGATGGGGGATTATAGTATAGTAATACCGTGATTCAAACGAGTCATTATCAGAGTATTAAGTGAGTTCTTGTGCTTCTAGGTACAAAGTAATTTATTGTTTGCATAGTCTATTATTTCTTTTACCAAAAAAAGGTTAAATCCCTAATTTGATCCTTCAACTATTGTACAGATCCTTGATTTTGTCCCTAAACTAAAAAAATTCCTAATTTGGTCCTTACTGTTTACTAATTTAACTCCAAGTTGATTATTTTGTTAAAAAATAACTAATGTGTCCATTATGTAATAACAAAAAATCATTACTAAATGATCATGTGTCATGCTAATAATAAAACACATCATTTGCTTTTGTACATAAGGACTAACTTGGGACTAAATTGGGACTAAATTGGTAAACAGTAGGAACCAAATAAGGGGTTCGTATAATAATTGAGGGACCAAATTGGGGGTTTAACAAAAAAAAAAATCTATTATTTCTAAAATGTTAATTATTTAAATCAGAATCATATCATGTTTCCTTCGTCCCTTTCAGTTGGCTTATAAAATGTTTGGTTTTTGTTAAAAAAAATATTCTCATTTTCTCCTATTTCTGTCAAAATAAATATACTATTAGGGGTTTTTAGGCACCACAAAGAGGTGAGTTTGTCCGTGATAGATGACGAGGTGTTGCACAACACGCCTTTCCTCTTTCGGGCTTTTTCTTCTCACCTAATCAAAGTGAGAAGGTGGGCAAAAGGTGCAGCAATAGGATGGCTTACGTGGGGCTTCGAGAAGATGTAGTGCGGTTACTTTGGTACAAGATAAGGTGTGTGCCAATTGTACAAGCGTGACAAAGACGGGGTGGTGTGGGTGTGTTTATAACAATAACAATGGAATCGAAAGGTGGGCCACACTGGATGGAACAATTTGTGCAGTGCTATAGGTGGGGTGTAGAATGGCTATTTTGGTGAAGGGAAAGGTGTGTAGTCGTGTGTGTAGGTTAGTAGGTGTAAGGGTGAACAAGCAAGATTAGGGGTCACCGTGATGGGGTGCATGGTAGGCTAACGTGGGGTCTTTAGAAGGGTTAGGCTTAGTGTTTCTGAGGTGACGGAGCTAGATTTGCAATAGAAAGTGGTAGGGGTTAAAAGGAGGTGACTGGCAATGAGCATGGATTGCGCACATGGCGTTGTGGGCTTATGTTTGGAGGAAGAGGATGTATTTGGGTTAATTGCCTTGTTAGCCTCTCAGGTTTAGTAGGTTTTGATTTTAGTCTTTTTTGAATTTTCGTTTTAGTTTAGTCTCTTTGACTTTAGGGAGTATGAGTCCAAGGCTTAAGAGTAGGTAATTTAGTTTAATAAGCCATCATAGGATAAAGCTTAGAGAATTAGGGTTGGGTTTTTTTCTGCAAGACCGAGATTTCACATCGAAACCTTTTGCAAAATCACTGATGAGTCAAACCTAGACGGTTTTAGGCTAAAGCCTACCAGTTTGCAAGCTGAAAATCGAAACCCAATGGGCAATAAGCGGTTGTTGGGCTTTGAAACCGCGAAACCACATAGTAAGCTCATAAAATTAACAGCCCATTGAATACTTTCATTTGTTTACGATTCAACTTTTGGGAAACTTTATTAGCTCTTGCAATTTTGTTCTACCTTCCAAGATTTCTGCCATAAAAAATTCTAAAACAAAGATTAATTATTAAGTATAAATATTGGAGGCTTTCTCTCCATTCTCAATCTCTTCCCTTCAGTCTCTAATCTTAGAAGTGCAGTTCTTCTTCATTGTCACTCATTGGTAAGAGTAATCTAATTCGAGATTCTTGGTTTTCTTTCTATTTTTCAAATGATAATGATAATTTCTTTTGTAATTAGAATTTCTCCAGTTTTTCTTTAATTTTTTTTCTACAACAAACCCTAACCTTTCTTCAAATATCTATATAGATTTTCTTTTAATTTTTTCTCTAATAATAGACCCTAAACTTTATTCTATAATAGAAAATTGTCTGGGTCTTCCTTTATTTTTTTAATAACAAATCAAAACTTAATATTTTGTCATTCAAATTTCTATATGAGTTCTTATACATATATATATATATTATTTGACAAACTTTAACCCATAGCATTGTATTTTTACTTTAATAAGAATTTGTCACATTACAGAGGAGGATCAAGCAACAAGGAATCTTATTGTAAACCTTAATGTTAGTATTTTTTATTCAAATTTT